ACACCTAAATAAAAGTAAACCTTTAAAGAAAAAAAAAAGGCTTTAGGTGTCCCCCCCCCAGCTGGAATTGTATGAAGATTTCAGCTGTGCACCTGTCTTCTCTGCACTAAATCATTGTTAAATTTGAAATTCATGATCATATTTGGGGTGAGGTAGGGATTCTCCCCCCATACCTCCCCCTCATTTAGGGACTAAGGTACTTGGTTGGTTGGATGAACTGTAAGCAGAGCTTCTCTTTCAGCTGGGAAGAAGGCAACTTGCCCAGCTTTTCATTGTGCCTTAACTCAAAGGTGTTCTAGTCCCTTTTTCCTTTGAACTTTGTTCATTCCTGTGCCAAATTTGTATTATTATTATTATTATTATTATTATTATTATTGAACTCTTCTTTTTTAATGTCTGGCAACACATCTTTAAAAACATTTCCAGACCATTCTCATGTTAACTATACAATTAAACAGAGAATTCGCTAGAATTACACACCCTACATTCTTGTGTAACCAACACTCTCCCTTTATCATCATCCCTAACTGAAACTTCTATTAAATAACTTTCCATTCCTTCATTCCAGCACTGTCCACTTTTCCACCATATAACTTTCCCTATTCTAAGTACTTCATACCACTGGATTAATACAGTATTTGTCCTTTTGTTCCATGCTTATTTCACTTACCTTTTTTTCATTTTTGAGACAGGGTCTCCCTGTAGCCCCAACTGTAGTTCTATGTAGATCAGGCTGGCCTCAATCTCATAGACATTCACCTGCCTTTGCCTCCCATGTGGTGGGATTAAAGGCATGCAACAAAATTACCAGCTTTTAACTAGATCCTTTAAAAGTTCATGTAACTTTCGTCATGTGTTGGAACTCTTCCCTTTTTCTTTTTGGAATAACACTCATATATATCTATGTAACTATATATATATATGTGTGTGTATATATATGTAAATACCCATATTTTGCTTGCTTGCTCATCCGTTGATAGATTTAGGTTGGGTTGACACCTTCAGGTTATTCTACATTGTGCAGTTTTGAACGTAGAGGTAGATATCTGTTCAAAGTTTCCATTTTCAACTGGTGTACACCTAGATTAGAATTGCTGGGTTATAGAGCAAGTCTGTTTTGCATTTTAAGGAAGCATTGTACTGTTCCATAGAAGCAGTACTATTTTATGTTCTTTTTAAAAAGTAATTCATGGGGGCTGGAGAGATGGCTCAGTGGGTAAGAACACTGTTCTTGCAGAAGATCCAGGTTCGAATCCCAGCACCCACATAGCAGCTAACAATTGTCCATAACTCTAGTTCCAGGGGATCCGACAGCTTCTTCTGTCCTCTGCGGGTATTGCATGACACAGGTGCACTTACATGCAGGGATAACAGTTGTACACATAAAATAATAAAAAAAATTTTTTTAAAGAAATTCATGTTGTATGTGTATGTTTTCCCTGCATGTATCATGTGCATGCAATCTCTACAGAGGCCAAAAGAGGGCATCAGATTACCTGGAACTGAGGTTACATACAGTTGTTAGCCACCATATGGGTGCTGGGAACTGAACCCAGGTCCGTTGGAAAAGCAGCCAGTGTTCTTTTTTTTATCTTTTTTTTTAATGTTGCTGAATTATTATTATTATTATTATTATTATTATTATTATTTTGTCTTTTTTGAGACAGGGTCTCCCTGTAGCCCCAGCTGTCCTGGAACTCACTATGTAGACCAGGCTGGCCTTGAACTGACAGATATACACCTGCCTCCACCTCCCGAGTGCTGGGATTAAAGGCGTGTGCCACCACGCCCGGCTGCCAGTGTTCTTTTTAAAATTATTTTTTAGATTTTATTTTATGTGTACTGCATGTAAGTGTACCCATGTTGTGCAGTGCCAGCAGAAGTCAGAAGAGGGCACTGGATTCTCCTGGAACTGGAATTAAGGACAGTTGTTAGCCACCATGTGGGTGTTAGGAACTGAATCCAGGTCCTCTGCAAAAGCAGCCATTGTTCTTTACCACTGAGTTATCTTTCTCCAGTCTCACTATTATATATATATATATATATGTAATTTTTTTTGAGATAGGGTTTCCCTGTAGCCCCAGCTGGCCTGGAACTCACTGTGTAGACCAAACTGGCCTTGAACTCACAAAAATCCACCTGCCTTTGCATCCCAAGTGTTGGGATCAAAGGCATGCGCCACCATGCCCAGCTATTTTATATTCTTACCAGCAGTTTACAAAAGCTCCAAATTTCCCACATTTTCAGTTAGTTGTTATACTATTATTTTGTTTTGTTTTGGTTTTGTGATAGCAGCTATCTGTCTCTTTTTTTTTGCTGCTATAACACAATACCACCAAAGTAATTTATATCGGACAGAAACTTCTCTCTTATGGTTCTGTAGTAGGGGACATGTAAGGTCAAAGTGCTGCTATTTTACAAAGGCTTTCTTGCTATACCGTAACATGACAGGAGGGCAAAGAGAGGGAGAAAGAATACACACAGCAGGGGCAGACTCACTCCTACATAATGAACCCAGTCCCAAGATAATGGCATGAGCACACACATGTCCTCATCATCCCAATACCCTTATGCTGGCAAGAATTTCAGCATGTTTTGGTGAAGACAGACATTCAAGCCATAACACCCTGTTAGTCAGCAGATGTGAAGTAACAGCTCATTAGGATTTTTTTTTTTTTTTGCATTTCCCTATTATTGGTGAAGGGCTGAAGATCTTTTCATGTGCTTATTGGTCATCTGTATATCTTCTTTGGAAAAATATCTGTTCAAGTCCTTGGACTTTTTCCAAGTTGAGTTATGTTGCTACTGAGCTTTAAGGGTACTTTAGATATTCTGAATATTAATCTTGTCAAATATGTAATTTTCAAACATTTCCTCTCATTCTGTGGACTGCCTTTTGTCCTTTGGTGCACAAATTTTTACTTTGGATGAAATTTAGTTCCTCTACTTTGCTGTTATTACTGCCCGTACTTTTGGTGTCAAATGCCAGAAATTACTGCCAAATCTAAAATCATGAAACGTTTCCACTAGTTTGATAATTTTAGAGCTTATAGTCAACAATTTGATCCATTTGAGTTAAATTTTGTATATTGTAAGGCTCCAGCCTTTTTCTTTCGATTGTTAATATCCGATTAACCAGCACCATTTGTGGAAGAGGCTACCTTTTTGTTCCTGGGCAGCCTTGTTAAAATCACTGAAAACATGTATGTGTTTATTTCTGAACTCTATGCCATTCCATAGATCTGTATATATCAATACCACTTTGCTTTAATTGTCTCTTTGGAGTAAATTTGAAACCAGTAAGTACGAGTTATCTCAACTTTGTGTTTCTTCGAGGACTGTTTAAGCTGTTTGGGCTCCCATCAGTTCATATTAATTTAGGATGTATTTTTCTATTTATGCAGAAAGCATCATCATGATTTTGATAGGGGTTACACAGAGTCTATAAATTGCTTTGTGTAGTATGGACAGCTTAAAAATAATCTTTTGGCAATGAACACAGAGTGTCTGTATTAGTAAGGTGTTTTTGTCACTGACAAATTATCTGAGAAAAATAATTTAAAAGGAAAAAGGATCTATTTTCTCTCAAAAGTTTCTGTCTACAATCAGCTAATGCCACTGCTGTGGACATGAAGTAAGGCAGAACATAATGGCAGTTGAGTGTTTGGCAGAGGAGACTGCTCATCTTACAACAGCCAGAAAGCAAAGAGAAACAGAGAAACCAGAGTCATGCCTGCCCTTCAGAAGCATAACCCTGACAAGCTGGGTCCACCAGCAGGGCCTATCTCCTAGGTTCTACCACCTACCAATGCTGCCATCAAGTTACAGATCCCTCAGTAAATCAATCAGGTTCAGTCAGAGCCCTCATGATCTAATCTTTCAGTGACAGCATTCATCAGTTGAAGACCAAGCCTTTAACACATAAACCTTTGGGGGATGCTTTGTATCCAAACCACCACAAAAATGCATTTCTATTTATTATCTCATTAATCTTTTACACAAGTTTATAGATTTCTGTGTTTAAGTCCTTCATTGCCTCAAAGTTATTCTTAAATACTTTACCTTTGTGATGCTAAATAGAGTTGTCTTAATTTCCTTTTTAAATTATTTGGGGTTCTTGTATAAAAATATAACTGATGTTGTGTGTTAATATTGTATTCTACAACTTTGCTGAGCTCACTTATAAGTTCTAATAGGTTTTCATATGTGCTGTTTAAGACTGTTTACATAAAAGAACATGTCATCTCAGGGCTAGGGCTGTAGCACAGTAATGGAATGACTGCCAAGCACACTTAAGAACACAAGAATCATACTACTTTCAGTTATATTTCTCATTTATAGTCCTCTTTGTTTTTCTTACCTAAATGCTTTGGTTACAACTTCTAATACTGAGCCGGCCATGGTGGCACACCCCTTTAATCCCAGCACTTGGGAGGCAGAGGTAGATGGATCTCTGTGAGATGGAGGCCAGCCTGGTCTACATAGTGAGTTCCAGGCTAGCTGTGAAGACCCTATCTTAAAAAGATCAGGAAAAACAAACAAGCAAGCAAAAAAACAAACAATAAAAAAAATGAGCACCCAGTTTTGCTCTTGATCTTAGAGGAAGTTTTCAACCACTATTAACTGTGGGATTTGTTTTGTTGAAACAATTTCCTTTCATTGCAGATTGACAACTGATTTTATTGAACCCTTCTTTATCTTTAGATTTTAATTATAATTTCATTGAATTCAGACTAATTTTGAGGATACAGTGACAATAAATTTGTATGCTACTATACAATATTACCATAGGGAACGTTAATGAACAGGAAGAACACTGATAATAACAGAATTTTATGATGCTACTCAAAGAAATAGCAATATGGCTTATAAGGAAAATGAAAGTTAAGAGGTTTTGTGCATGGGTAAAAAATAAATGAGAATTTAAAGGATTTTATGTATTCTTTCATTTTCTTTTTTGTTTTAGCTTACTTAACCCATTTTTCTTCTTTTCTCAATAGGATATCCCAATCCCCATAGAGGAATATTCGACCAAGAAATAGGTTATTATTTTGGTTATTTATAACCCTTAAGTATGAGACCTTAATAGTTTACATGGAAATATCATACATTTCAATTAATGAAGAAACATGTCTTAAGTCATTAGTGAGAGTTGACCTTTAGGATTACTGCCTTTGTGCCAATACCACAAACATGAGTACTAGTATAGTAAATATACAGGTAAGTACAGTTTTATGGAAGGGCCTCAATATAGGAAGGTTAGTAGAGTATGGTTATAATATGTAAAACACAACTTGCTTTCTGTGTGGCTCTCTTCCTATACACATCTGGTATACAAAGACCTCAAAACACTATTAAGTTGGGTTAGGTTTTTGGAAAAATTTGATTTAACACACTTTATGCGGGCTTCAGTTTGTACAACAGACATTAAATAAAATCAAGTATAGTCACAACAATTAAAATTCAGTGAAATTTAAAGACTTCTTGATGAGTAAATTACAAAAATTTGCTACTTTTATTTATTAGACTAATATTTTTAAAAATTCATCTTTGGTTTATTTTTTCATACAACTGTGTCTCCATATTCATGGGAGATTGGGTCTGATATTCCCAGAGTAAACTGAATATACTAAATTGAAAATGCACTTAGCATACTTAACCTACAGAGAACCAGAGCTGGCAACATATAGTTCTGGTTTCACTAGTGACAATGGGGGTCTCTGGGAGCTGTGGCTCACTACGGCTGCCCAGGATCTGAGAACCTGGGATCTGGGACCCCACATCATATTGCTAACCCAGGCAAGGTTAACATTCTAAGTTCAACACTGGCTTCTGCTGAATATGCATCACGGTCACACCACTATAAAGAGAAAAATTGTAAGTATATCATGACAAAATGGGTACTGCTTATATATGCTTTTGCTTCAAACTCTGTGGTGAAACTGTCGTTGAGCCAGCAAATATAGCTAAACATGTGATACCTGTGCATGAAATAAGAAGAGCAGAGTTAACCATAACACTTTATACTTTGATTGATATCAGTTTAATAAAAACTGTGGAACTTTAGAAGCAAAGATGTTACTTGACATAACTGCTTCTAAAATTTAAGATTTTTACAGAATTTAATGTTCTCTAGTGACCTAATTAGCTTTAACTGTCAACTTGAAACAGCCTAGAGTCACCTGAGAAGGGAGTCTCAATTGAGGGATTATCCAGATCAGATTGACCTATGGGTATGTCTGTGGGGGATTAACCGGATTGTTAATTGGAGGGTCCAGTTCATTACAGGTGGTGCCATTCCCAGGGCTGTATAAGAAAGCTAGCTAAGTGTGAACCTGCAAACCAGCCAGTTAGCAGTATTCGTCCATGGTTTCTGCTGTGCTGTCTTGCCTGTGAGCGCATTCCCTGGGTAGAGGATCATGATGCTGAGCAAGCAGGCCTGACTTCAAGTTCTACCTTGAGTTTGTACCCTGAGTACAAACTCATTGATGGACTGTGACCTGGAACTGTACACCAGATAAATCTCTTCCTCCCCTACATTGCTTTTGGCCAGAGTATTTTATCACAGCAATAGAAAGGGACTAGAATATCTAGTTAGTCAAATATGCTTACTTAAATTCCTCTGTGTAACTGTTATCAATGCATGCTGCTATTTCTTGAGCATGTTAGGCAAATTCTTCTACTCACTGAATTCTAATTATTTTGTAGTAACTTTTACTAAATAACTTGATGATAAAAGTACAGAAATAACACTGGAAAATGAAGTTCACAACTTGACCCCAAACCTGGAAACTGGCCCAGGAGGGTTCTGTGATCAAAATGATTTGGATACATTAATGATAGTGCTCAAACTAGATAGATAAACTTTTATTTTTCTCTTGTGTGTGGATGATCTGAACTCATCTGCAGAACTGTGCATACTCAACATCTTCTGTTTTACTCTTTTCTTAGATAACTGGATCATTGCTCTGATCATCATCACTTCAGGTTAAGTCTCCCACATTTTTCACTGCTTAGAGCCAAATCTTACTGTAAAGCAGTGCATTTGTTAAAACAGTTTTATTAGTTTCTATAGATTTTATAGCTTGAGATTAATTAAACCAACTTAGAAAAACCTGGTCCTTTATATATCATCTTTTGGTGTTCACATTCTTTCATGTTATACATATTTACCCAGAAATAGCCTGTAAATAATTCATGCTTTCTTAAGATGATGTTCTATGAATGTGCATCCTAAGTATGCTTCTGATAATTTTCTAAATTAAACCAGGACTTTCCTCTGGCTTACTATGGACTGTTCAATTCCAGGACTTGGATTTAAAGAATGAAGAGTCCAGGTGGAATATAAATGTCTAAATACTTACAGAAAATGCCATTTTCTTACCACTGAAATATCACTGACATTTATTCTTCTGCTTGGATTTTGAGTCTTGATAATTATTCTCAGAGTACCATGCTATTCATTTTTTTTCTTGTAGTTGTTGGAATTATTGTAATTTGTCTCATCATATACAGATGTCTTAAGCACAGGAAGAAAGGGTAAGTAATCACACTTGCTAGTCCTCGCCCTCAGCCTCTGTGCATCTTGTCCTCTGCTTTACATGCCACCCTTTATTCTTTTAAAAATAATTTATTGAGAATTCATAATGCGTATAAGGTGTTTTGACCAAATCCATGCCCATTCCCTCCCTTCCAACAACTCCCATATCTCCCCATCACTTTTTTTCTGATAACTTCATGTACTCTTTCTTCTTTTTTTTAAATGGGGCTGTTTGCTATTCTAACATTCCCCCCTCTGAAGAGGTAACCCTAAAATCTTTTAAGGATTAGATACAAGCTCCCAAATACTTTAGACATTTTTTGGCTTTTGGAACAGAGGATGTTGCTAAAAGGCCCAGGGACATTTTGACTTTTAGCCAAGAAACTGGCCACTTTTCTTTGGGGTCTTTTTCCCCTAACTGCCTAGCCAATTCCTACCTCTATTCTTAACACACCATCCTCTGAAGAGGTTATCCAACTTGCAAATAGGGAATCGGGACACAGACCTCTCTGGCTTTTTCCATGCCGAACAGGGATGCAGGGTGAGGCAACTGGGATACCCCTTCGGTGGGTCTATCTAAAGGACTCCCAGATTGCATAACTCTTGTCTGTAGGGGGAAAAGAAAGTCCTTGACTGGTGAATAGGAGATGTGAAGGAGAAGTAAAGGCAAGAGTAATTACCATTACAAGTTCTAGACAGGAAACTAGAAAAAAGTCAGAACAGGCATGCCACCCTTTTTAAAGTATGCCACCCACATTAGTGTACCCTACAAACTGCATTTCTTTGCTAAAATACTTTCAGCTACTCTTACCATCATTGCAATATAAGGAATCCGTGTAGTTGTTTTAGCAGCTATTGCAACTACAGGAAACTTCTATAGACTCTGAGGTTCAAGTTGCTTAGTGAAGCAGGATCATTATGAGGCCTTCCCTGCCCTAGGCAGAACCTAGCTCCTAAGCTGGAAAGAGACCAAAATTAAATTTGAAGTATTTCACTGGGGAAACTTTGATAGTATAGTACCTGGAATTTTTATGATGATTTGCATTTGTCTCTTTTTTTAACAAAAAAATTTATTTATTTTTATTGCATGTGTATGAATGTACTGTCTGCATGTATGTAAGTGCACCTGTGTCATGCAATGCCCACGGAGGTCAGAAGAGAGTGTTGGATTCCCCCTGGAACTGGATTTATGCATGGTTGTTAGCCACCATGTGGGTGCTGGGAATCGAACACAGGTCTCCTGCAAGAACAGCCACTTAACCACTTCTTAACTGCTGAGCCATCTCTCCAGCCCCCTGTATTTGTCTCTTTAACTCAGTTGGTGGTAAAAAACTATGTAGGGATCAGATTTCTCTCTTCTATTCTCCTAATTTTTTCAGCTGCAGAATAATGGATGGGTTAGAGATTGCTGAAGGGCTAAGATTTACAGGACCATCTTTTACCTGCCTTTTATTTCTATAAAATGAAAACAAAGGAGGCTTAGAACAGAAAAAAATGTAGAAATACATGTATTTATGGATCTTATTTTTAAAATTTATTTTTATTATATGTGTATGAGTGTTAAGTTTACCTGTGTGCATGTAAGTGTACCACACACATGCAATGCCCAAGAAGGCCAGAAGAGGGTGTCAGATCCCCTGTAACTGGAGTTGTGGGCAGTTGTTACTTGCCATGTGGATGCTGGGAACCTCTGCAAGAACAAACAGTGCTCTTAATCACTAAATCATCTCTCCCGTCCCCAAATACATTATTTCTTTTTAAAGAAAAATAAGGATTTGGAGGAGACTGGACTTGCTGAGGGTGGCATGGCCATAGATGTAAATACAGATTTAAAGTATCAAATTTAAAATGTAGTGAGAGTTTCCATTTAACTGAAGATAGGACTAGTGCTTTAAAGTTTCTGATAGAATTTAGGTAATTTCTTTTTTCCTTGTCACTTTAAAATAGCTTTGAAATAGTGCCTAACAATTTTTAGACTCTTGGTGCTCATTTCATATTGTTCTTTCATATTAATGAACTGGTTTGGGTTATATAAAAAAGTGTATTTTCACTCTGAAAAAGCTCAAGCTTTTTATTTTTATTTTTTAAATAAAATCACTTTATTCTAATTAACTCATAAATGAAAATATCACACAGCTAGATTACTGTAGCCACTCAAACACTTGCCCAGTCCCAAATTCTATATATCTCACTGAGCTTCTAGACGGTTAGGATGGCCATTTTGATGCCATGAAGCATCACTTAGGGTTTTATATTTTCACTATCACCTACATTTTTATGCACTTATCCACCACAGAGAAAGAAAAAGTGCTACAGAATTGAAACTAGGAAAAGTAAATTGATTTTCAAGCTTTTAAATATTACTTGATTACCTTTTCTAATGTCTATAATCCCTTCATTTGAATCACAAATCTTTTATTTATAGAACATGTGCTTACCACACCAGATTTCCCTATTGGTTAATTTTTTTTTTTTTTTTTTTTTTTTTTTTAAAAAAAAAAAAAAAAAAAAAAAAAAAGCCCCAGCTCCTGGAACTCACTATGTAGACCAGGCTGGCCTCGAACTCACAGAGATCCGGCTGCCTCTGCCTCCTGAGTGCTGGGATTAAAGGCATGCGCCACCACTCCCGGCTTGGTTAAATATTTTTAAATTACATATATGAACAATCTGAGCAGGGAATACTCTTACAGGAGTAAATTATGAATCTAAAGGTCTTGTGTAAAAATAACTTCTTAAGAAAATAAAATAGGGGTTGGACAGATGGCTCAGTGGTTAAGAGCACTGGCTGCTCTTACAAAGGACCTGGGTTCGAGTCCCAGCACCCACATGGTGCCTAACAACCATCCATAATTCCAGTTCCAGGGGATCCAACATCCTCTTCTAACCTCCTCAGGCACTGCATGGCACACGTGCACTTACACACATGCAGACAGGGCACTCATGCATATAAAAGTAATAAAATTTAAAAGTAAAACAAATCAGATCCTCAGTCTCATGTTGTTTATAACATGATTCCAACATATTTCTTGACAGTTCCCTAAAAGCATTAGCCAGACACTCACACTGTACCGACCAGTTAATGGATGTTTTAAAGCTAAACAATTATCTGGTCATTGTACTCACAAATTAAAGGTTCAATAGTGATTAGAAAATATAAAATTGTTTCATGTGCTACAGAATAGAGGTCTAACAGGAAATTTCACTGTTAAATATTTCGGGAAGATAATTTATCTTCAAATAATGCAACACAGAATGACTTGAGAAAAAAATTTCCAAGAATGGTGTGGAAGGGTTAATTCTTAATTGCCTTTGAACTAAAACAAACTATTGGGAGTTTTAAGATATACTTTGCCCTTTTTGGTGACAAGAACACAATATAACATTCCCATACTTAGCATACGCAAGGTACTGAGTTCAATTTCCAGCACACAAAAAGAGTAATTTAATTTTCAGATTTCTTGGCTTCATGATGCTGAAGTCCACGGGCGTATATATGCATTTTTTTTTTTCCAGGAAGGGTCTCACCGTATATCCCTGGCTAGCCTCAAATTTGTGATAATTCTCCTTCCTCTGTCTCCCTAGAGAAATAATATTGTATACCTGAAGTCACTTTCCCGAGAGGGTGGAAGGCCTTTCTTCTTTAGCACTTCAAACAGTACTTGAGGGCCTGTGTATCAGCTGAAGATCTTTTCTTCCTGTGGTCTGGAGTAGATCTGATAACCTGCTGTCTAATGAGTTCCCCAAGGGTGTTATGTGGTCGGCTGTAGACAATTATCCATGGGCTCCTACTGCCAAAATTTTAAGAAGCACTGTTAAGCCACTACCTGTTTTTGTTTTTGTGTTGTGTTCTTTTCTGATATTTAAGGTCATTAGGGTTTTTAAGTCTTTATCTCTGAGTAATTTTTTTAAAAATATTTTATTTTTTTTATTTTATGTGTATGAGTGCATTGCTTGCATGTAGGTAGGTGCACCTCTGTCATGGAAAGCCCACAGAGGTCAGAAGAGGGCATCAGATCCCCTGGGACTGGCCTTACAGATGGTTGTTAACTACCATGTGGGTGCTGGGAACCAAATCCAGGTCCTCTGGAGCAGCCAGTGCTCTTAACCTCTGAGCCATCTCTTCAGCCCTGAGTAATTTTTTTAAGTGTGGGGTGACAGTGGTCTTTAATTTTTTCTTTATTTTCTTTATACTGCTAATGTCTGTAATCTTTCCATTCAAAGTGGCTGTCACTGCCTCTGAGTTAATCAGAATAAACTCAGTTTCTTCTATACTTTCATTTCACAGTCAACATAGAAGATTTTTATGAGGAAATACATGTGTTTTCTACACACACTCAACAGTCAGGTCTGTAACAGACACCAGCTGGTATCCTCTACTCAATTCCATTCAGATCCCATGAGTAGAGAACACAGTCACTACAACTGCCCCCTTTGGATGCCAGTTCCAAGCTCATTCATTTTACCTGAGCTTTTGACCCATCAGCTACAAATCAAGGTCCTGACACTTCTCAATTAATTTGCTAGAGTCACAGAACTCAAACATTTACTGGTTTGAAGTGATGAAGAGATGTAGGACAGACAAAGGGCAAAGAGGCTCTGTACCCTTGGGCTGAACCATCCCCAGAAACATCTCTCTGTGTCTACCTTGTCTGGAATTTCCAAACCCAGTCCTTTCTGGTTTTTTTTTTTTTTTTTTTTTTTTTTTTTTTTTCCACAGCCTCTGCCTTGCTGTGGGGGAACGTGATTGATTAGATCACAGGCTACTGGTGATCAAGTCAACCTCCAACCTTCTCCCTTCCTGGGAGGCTGGACAGTGGGGCTGAGTTCCAATCCTCTAGCCTGTCTAGATCTTTTCTGAAGCTCTTGAGAGGTGCCAGCCACCAGTCATTTCATGAGCACACAAAAGGCATCGTTTTAAGAATCCAATGATCTTAAGAGTTCTTTACTAGAAAGAGGGGATAAAGACCAAATACATATTTTGCAATTCTCAATCTTCTGTCATAATGGCCTATACAAGACTATAAAATGCCTGGTTACTTCTCAATTTTTATTTTTTTTTTTGGTCTTTTTTTGAAACAGGGTCTCCCTGTAGCCCCAGCTGTCCTGGAACTCGCTATGTTGCCGTTGAACTCACAGATCCACCTGCCTCTGCCTCCCGAGTGCTGGGACTAAAGGCCTGCGCCACCACGCCCGGCCTACTTCTCTATTTTTATGGGGGTAATGGGCATAAATGCTCTCAAATTGCTGTTAAAGTGTTGTTTAAAAATGAATTTGATGTAAACTGATATTTATGATGACTTGGAAGTATAATTAATCCTTCTGTAGCTGTCATCTCAGAGAACAAACACTGTTAGTAGTCATTTTAAGAGGATCAGTATCACTTAAATTAGTTGGTAAAAAATAGTCAAAAGGTTAAAGTATTCTACAGTTTTATTTCTTGACTCTGAGATTAAAAAATATAAAATTAAGACTGGAAAGGTAGCTCAGTCAATAAAGATTTGTTATGCAATCATGAGAACCTGAGTTTGACCTCCAGGACCCACATAAAATGCCATACATGGTGGCACACTTACAATACCATTGGGGAGGCAGACATAGGCAAATCCCTGTGGCTCCCAGCCAGCTTAGCCTAAAACACACACACGAATAGGATAGAATCCCTGACATGAGTGTCAAACATATCTGGGTCACGTGTTCTTCTCTTCAGTAACTCTCTCACACTGGAAGCCATAGTCTGGCTCTGCCTGTTTACTGCTGACTCTCATAAGTCTGTGTCCTTCTGAATCATAGATGCTTTTCATTTGAGTGAATGTTTTCACTTGTAAACTTTTTTCATAAATGTATGATTTTCTTTACTCCAGCTAAACAACTATCCCTCGAGAAGTAAGAGTTATTCCATAAATGAGAATTATTTGCATAATTAATGTTTTATTATCCATGACAGTAGTTTTCATTGTTTTCCATTAGTGGTGTTGACTACTTCATATAACTTAAATATAGTTTTAATATTGATTGATTCAATTGTTTTGTTATTTTTAAGTTGTTTGGGCTTAAATGAGACAGCTTAAAATTTTGGTCAGTGCAGATTCTAGCTAAGGAATGCCACAGCATGGGGCAGAAAAGACAAGGGTTCAATTAATTTCTTCATTTTCCCTGTTTGGCTCTAAAACTTTTGAGCATTCAACAGATTTTTTTTAATGATTTTTGTACATAAGAATACATAGCAAAATGTGTAACTGTTTAGAAAGTATACAACAAAATTATAGCTGTCCCCAAACTTGGGAGGCCATGTACAAGTTTTATAAGGCTCATCTCTTAAGATGAAAAAAAAAATTGTGTGCCATAGGAAGAAACTATACCCAATGAAAAAGTCAAGAGGCATCAGAACGTCTGACTTGTCATAAAATTGATTTCCAAGATGGTATAATGGATTTTATATTGTTTTCACCCAAGATTGAAGGTGCTAGATACACCAGAACCATTTCTCTCACACAGTGGTGTTCTTTGAAAGAATCTTTACAATATTGCTTTGGGCAGAGTGGTTCAAAAGTAACACTGAACAACAATGTCAAATGTGCTCATCTGTTGGGTAGTATGAGATTTCAGTGTTAAGTTATGGCACAAAATTCATATGTCAGGAACCTGAGTGAAAATCATGAAACCTCAGTTGATGAGCCCGGTGCGCATCTCCACTCCATCTCGTCGTTGAATGTTTCCTGTTTATGCAACTCTTCTTTTTGGTTTAAAATGACTGTTGTCCCTTTCCCTTCTCTGGTGTACACATACCTGATGAGAACTACAGAGAAGTAAAATTTTCCTCTCTCTAGGAGATGAGACTTTTGCTTTTATCTTTAAAGGGTACCTGCTTCCTGCTGTTTCTTTGCTCCAGGTTGTTTTGAAAAATAGCCAGTGGATATTTATATATCAATCCCAGGAGTTCAGATATATTGTCAGTAAAGATAAAAGCAGAAGCTTAGGGGTCAGGCATGGATTTTTGCCAGTGGAAGCCTCTGTCTTAGCTCCTGAAGCCTCATCTCCCTCTGTGAGTTGTACTGAAGGAGCTCATGTAGCAGGTCACACTCAGGTAGAACACAGCTCTGCCTTCCAACAGGCCCTAACCCACACTCTGAGAAGCTGGTGGTAAGGGAATAGGCACTCTGATTAATCCTTTTCTAAGATGTGTTTTAAACTTTTACATTTAGTAGCACAAGGTAACCAAAGAAATACTGCCTGTGAATAGGAAATTGAGATGTGG